GCAGGGAGGGAAAGACCACCTGGGTAGCCTTTCCTGAGCTGGTGAGTGGGTTCTTCTTTCTGCTCCCCAAAACGCCCACCATGGTCCCCCATCGAATGGGGCTCAAGAGTCCATTACCTTCAAGGCGAGTGTTAGGCTGAACGATGAGCTTCCGAGATTCCTTGCGCAGCAGCACTGTGTCCCTGAGGGTGAGGAAGCACTCGGGAGGTGCATCAGTAACTGCCGCATACCCCTCATACAGGGCCCGCCCTCCAGCCACATCCCCCGTGGACTTCAGCACCTGTGGAAGGATGAGTTAGTGCCTATGATGGGCATCCTACCTGGTGTCCAAGGGGCCACAGCTGATTGTGCCCAGCCCTGCTTCACTCTGCCATTTACAGGCTGTGTAATCTTGGAAAAGTTAAACCACCTTGAGGGAGGGCCAGGCGATGGTAAAATGTCATACTCTGTAAGGCTGACCCACACCGGAGGGTTATGGGTTTATATCTAGAGTCCTCCCTGAGTATGCCAGGCACATTCGTGCCCATGATCCAGAACTGGCTGAGGCTGGGGGTGGGTTGTTGCATCAAAACCTTGTTGGGAGGACCAGCAGGTAGAGTGATGGTTAAGAGCACTGGACTCAGGGAACCAGCAGTTAGCGTAATGGCTATGTCGCTGGATTCCCACGTAGTCGACCGCGGTTCGTGTCCCGGACCCGGTGGCTTAAAAAACTCACGCTGGGCGCATGTGCGTGCGTGCCCAAGATCCCGAGAGGAGAATGGAGGAGAAGAGATTGCGGCGTGACCATACCCCCTGGGGGGTGATTTCTCGCTTTCTGTCTCTATGTCTCTCTCTGTCTGGCTGGCAAGCGCACGCGCCCTACAAGTGAAAAATCTCTCTCAAAAAAAAAAAAAAGAGCACTGGACTCCCCCATGGTCAACTGCAGTTCAACTTGGCGGCTTGCTTTCTTACTTTCCCTTTCGCTTCCTCACTCTGTCCCTCCCTGGTCAAATTAAAATAAAATAAATACATTAAAATAATAATTCTTTTTTAAAACAAGAATTATTTAATTTTATTCACTGTCATTTATTTATTTATTTATTTTGAAGTTGACCAGTACTTACTTACTTACTTATTCACTCATTAATTAATTTATTTAGAAGTTGACCAGAGAGAGACACAGAGAGAAAAGGAAAGTGAGAAAGCAAACTGCCAGGTCTGGGACTTGAACTGTATCAGCCATGTGGGAGTCTCGCTGGCTTCACCCCTGCTGTCCCCATAAATAAAATAATTCTTTTAAAAAAAATTACAAAACCCTGTTTGGTGTGCTGTCTCTCTGTCTCTGTCCTCTCGCTTGCTCATAAAAGAAATAAATGGGTAAATTTTTTTTTAAAAGGCGGGGGCTGGGACCAGCAGGTGGCGTGGTGGTTAAGGCGCTGGACATTCCCACATGGCCGACCGCAGTTCAAGTCCTGGACCTGATGGCTTGCTTTCTCAATTTCCATCTCTCTCTCTCTCTCTGTCTCTCTATGGTCAAATTAAAATAAATTACTGAATAAATAAAATGAAATAAATAGTTCTTAAAAAAAAAAAAAAAAATGGGGACTGGCTCCACAGCCTAGTGATTAAGTGAGACAGATCCCACATGGTCAACTATTGTTTGAATCATGTCCCTGGTGGCTTGAAAAACATGTCAGGCACATGTGCATGTGTGCCCCAAATTCTGACAGGAAGGAGAAATGGAAGAGAAAGGACTACAGTGTGACCACACTCCACTGCAGAGTGCTTTCTCCCTCTTCCTCTCATTCTACCTGGCAACTAGAAGAGAAAAGAATAAGCACAGTGCCCCACAGCACTGTGGTTAAGTAGTATTTGAAGAAAACTGGATCTCACATGACTGACCAGGGTTTGAGTCCCAGCCCTGGTGTCTTAAAAAAACACACTGGGTTGGGAGACCAGCAGTTAGTGTAATGGCTGTGTTGCTGGACTGCCATGGAGTCAACCACGGTTCGAGTCCTAGTCCTGGTGGCTTAAACTCACAATGGGCTCATGTGTGTGCGTACCCAAGATCCCAAGAGGAGAATGGAGGAGAAGGGATTGTGGTGTGGCCATCTCCCCGGGGGGATGCTTTCTCGCTTTCTGTCTCTTTGTCTCTGTCTTTCTGGCGAGCACACGTGCACTATAGCAAAAACCTCTCCAAACAAACAAACAAACAAACAAAACACACTGGGTTGATGAGCATGCATGTTTGTCCAGGGTCCCGATGGGATAGAGAAATGGGTGGAAAAGGATTGTGGCATGACTAGGCCCCATTGAGGAATGTTTTTTTCTCTCTCTTTCTCATGCATATGTACACACTCTCTGGCATATAAAAACATGGGAGTGGTATCAGTTTCATAGTGTTATTGTGCTGAATGAGTGAGCTGCAGATTAAGTGCTTGGTGCTTGTAGCAAATCCCCACTAAACTGAAGCTAATGTTTCTCATTTGATTTATGGACAAGACAGGGAATGTCATCACTTTCTTTCTTCAGTAAAACATTTCATACGCACGATATATGGAATGTGCGTTGTAAAAAAGAATAAAACAGGACCAGCAGGCACCGTCATCCTTGGAGGGTAATTTCTCATTTTCTCTCTCTCTGCTGAGTGCATGTGCCCTATAGCAAAATCTTTTTTTTAAAAAAAAATGAATAAAGCAGACATTCATGCAGCCACCACCCTACTTAAGACAGTCTAGCTGTCCCTACCACATGGTGTGGCCTCCCACATTTGATACTTCTGTCCTCAATCCGGTATTTATTTTTCCCTTGCTTTCTTAAAGTTTCTCTTAATCATACACTATTTAAGTTTTTGCTGTTCTTGGACAGTATATATCTCTGATTCACTTTTCTTTTTTCCGATTCACTATTTTGCTCACATTATGTTAAGATTCATCTGTGCTATTTGCAGCTGTAGTTCTCCTTCTCACCGCTGGGTGGTATTCCCTTATAAACACACTTCACTTACTCTCTTCTCTTGCTCTGTAATTTGTGCCTGTTGCTATTAGATGCTGCTGTGAACATCCTCCCATGCCTCCTAATGAACAGATGCAGGTTTCTCTAGAAGAACTGAGGTCTGTACGTCATGCAAATGTCCAACTACTAATACATGATGATGCCAACTCCATTTCACAAAGCTGTTGCTCATTTCTACTCCTAGAACCAGGGGGGCCGCAGTCCTCACTACTCAGTCTCCTAGGTGGCTGTGGGAGCTTTTCATTTCTGCCACGCTGGCAGGAGTAAATTGTACCTCATGTCCTTTAAGTTACACTTCCTGATTACCAATGAGGTTTAAGTTGGTGGGTTATTCATATTCCTCTTCTGTTCATTTTTGCTTATTTTTTTCTCTTTTTCACTTCTTTTTTTAGTCCTTTGTATATCTTACACACAGTTTTTATTTTATTTATTTTATTTTAGCATATATGTTGTAAGTACCCTATCTTTTTTTTTAGTTATTTTTTTAAGGAAGATTTTTGCTATAGGGCACATGCATTCACCGGAGAGACAGAAAGCAAGAAGTTATCCCCCGGGGGAATGGCCACGCCGCAATCCCTTCGCCTCCATTCTCTTCCTGGGATCTTGGGCACACACACACACATGCACCAGGCCTGAGTTTTAAGTCACCAGGTCCAGGACTTGAACTGCAGTAGACTATGTGGGAGTCCAGCGACGTAACCATTATGCCAACCTCTGGTCCCAAAACCCTTATCTTAGTTTAAAACTTGTCTTCAGGGGCCAGAAGGTAGCATAATGGTTAAGAAGATGCTGGACTCCCACACAGTCAGCCCCAGTGGCTTTAAAATCATGCCAAGCATGTGTGTGTGTGCATCCAAAATCCTGAGAATGAAGGAGAAAGGACTGCAGTATGGCCACTGCCCCCTGTAGGGGGGTGGGGGGAGGTAATTTCTCACCTTCCTTCTCTGTCTCTCTCTATATCTGTCAGACTAGTGCACTCACCCTTTGGCAAAAATCTTCAAACAAACAAACAAAAAACGTGTCTTCATACCTCCATTATAGTAATTTTTTATGAGTAAGTTATTTTTAATGTAGTCAAAGGGATGAATCTTCAATAGCTTGTGGGTGTTTTGTTTTGTTTTTGTCACAGGGTATATGTGCTCTCCAGAAAGAGAGTGAGAGGGAAAATGAGAAATGACTGCCCCATGGGGGATGGCCACACCACAACCCCTTGTTCTCCATTCTCCTCCTGGGATTTTGGGCATGCACGTACATGTATCCAGCGTGATTTTCAAGCTGCCAGGTCCAGGACTCAAACCATGGTTGGCCATGTAGGAGTCCAGCACCTTAACCACTATTCCACCTGCTGGCCCCATTTTGTGTTTTTTGTTGTTGTTGTTGTTGTTTTTTAAGAGATTTTTGCTATAGGGCATGTGTGCTTTCCAGAAAGACAGAGAGACAGAAAGCGAGAAATCACTCCCCAGGGGGGTGGGGGTGGGGTGGTGGCCACACCACAATCCCTTCTCCATTCTCCTCTCAGGATCTCGGGTACACACGCACATATGCACAGCGTGACTTTTTTAAGCCACCGGGTCCAGGACTTGAACCGAGATCGACTACATGGGAGTCCAGTGACATAGCCATTACGCTAACTGCTGGTCCCCAGTTAGAGTTTTTTACTTTTTGAGAAATTCTCCTTTACCATGAGGTCATAAAGATAATCTTCACATAGTTTCAAATTTTGCCTTTAAGCCTTTAATCTCTCTGGGATTAGTTTTATATAGAGATTAAGAAAAAAAATTGTTTTGTTTCTCTATAAGGATAAGCTGTTGTCCCAACACTACTCATTAAATGATCCTGACTCTTTTTCTTTTTTGCTAAGGGGCATGTGCACTAGCGAGAGAGGGAGGAGAGGAGAAAGCACTCCTATGTGGGGAATGGCCACACAGTAATCCCTTCTCTAATTCTCCCTCCTTTTGGGATTTTGGTACTCATGCATACGTATACACATGCATCCCATGTTTTTCGAGCCACTGGGTCCAAGATTCAAACTGCAGGGTTAGCTGTGTGGGTTCTGACTGCCTTAACTACCAAGCTAGCCCGGTCCCTACTTTTTCCAGCGCTCTAATAATAATTCTTTAAAGAATTATTTTATTTAACTTTATTTATTTTAATTTGACCAGAGAGGGAAAGTGAGAAAGCAAGCCACCAAGTCTGGGACTCAAACCATGGTCGGTGGGAATCCAGCACCCTTAACCACCATGCCACCTGCTGGCTCCACTTTAAAAAAAAAAAAAAACAAAAAAACCCAGCTCCCACCATGTCATAGTCTTCTTACCTCAGCTTCAGGCTTTGACTATAGGTGTGTGTCACTATGCCTGGCTCTTTTATAGACAAGGTCATGCTATGTTGCTGAGGCCAGCCTAGAGCCTGTGATCCTCTAGCTCTCAGCCTTTTGAGCAGCTGGGATTATAGGTGCGTATCCAGCCTTGTGGGTGGACCAGGAATTGAACCTGGGCCTCCCACGTGGTCCCAGCCTGCAGAGCACACATCTGAGCAGGGCACACTACTGGAACTGAGCCTCTGCAATGCCACTTCTGTCCTACATCAAGAACCTATGCCAGCTGGGTTCTTGATTCTGTTCCTGGTCAGTGTGTCTATTCCTGCCACACTGAGCTTGCCAGAGAGAGAGAGAGAGAGAAAGGGAGAGAAAGTACCCCCTAAGGCACATGGTCATACCACAATCCTTTTTCCTCTATTTCTTCATCCCATCAGAATCTTAGACATGTACCTGGCATGTTTTTCAAGCCTTCAAAGCTAGGATTCAATACCATTGTTGGCCATGTAGGATCCTGCCCTCTGTGTACAGTGTTTAACCATTGCCCAATAGGGCTGGCCCTAAATTTTATTTTATTTTTTTAAGAATTATTTTATTTAACTTTCTTTCTTTCTGTATGTATGTATGTACGTATGTATCTTTTTAATTTGACTAGACAGGGACAGAGAGAGAGAGAGAGAGAGAGAGGGAAAGCGAGAAAGCAAGCCGCCAAGTCTGGGACCTGAACCACGGTCGGCCATGTGGGAGTCCAGTGCCCTTAACCACCACATCACCTCACAGCCCCCCATAAATTTTTTTAGATAGGCTTTCACCATGCTGCCCAGGCTGGCCTTGAACTTGCAATCCTCCTGCCTCAGCCTTCCAAGTAGATTACAGGCAGGTACCACCACACCTGGCTTTGGTTCTTTCTTGGCACTCAAAATCCAGCTAAAGTGATACCTCCTCCAAGAAACATTCCCTCCTCATCCAGACGAAGGTAGCCCTTTCCTCTGCAATGATACTCAGCATCACATCACACACCTGTACAGCCTCTACAGCTCTTGTCATGATTGGCGATCATCTGGTTCACCAACCACTAATACGTTTATTGTCTACCATTCCTCACTACAATATAAAAAATTATGCATAGTTTACTCTTGGTGCCTGACCCCAGTATCACTACATATAAAGACTTCTTGAATGAACAAACCAACATATGTGGAGGCTATGAGGAAGTGCTAACAGGATGGGGAGATAGGGCAGAGGTTGGTGGGAGGCCTTCAAGATGAAAGGCCTCTACTCACCTGGAGTCTCCGCAAGAACCGTTCCAGGGCGGGTCTGCCCACAGACCGGATCTTGTTGCGGTCAAGGCGGACCCGAGCATCAGGGCGCCCATCAGAGCCTGTGGTAGGAGTGACGGTGACAAGTCCCTCACCAGCCTCCAGCAAGACCCTCAGGATCACAAACCGGGCCTGCATGTGAGCCTGCCAGGGCCAAGGGGAGAGGGGTCATTTTATAGCCCATGTCAAGTGCTTGGTCCAAGGTCTGATATATAATATGTGCTCATTAATTGTGAATTATAATTGTCATTTTATTCTCCCCCACCCTTTGGTTCCTTTTTCTGCCTATTCCCTTCCTCTTAAATGCTGCCTCCCTCCTCTGCTTATGGGGAGGGTGAGCTGCTCTGGGGGACCAGGAGGCCATTTCCAGGCAGGACCTGGTGGCTCCTCCCCTCCGCCTTGTCACCTTCTATCCCCTACTACTCCAGACCCTCTTGAGGATAGCAACTCCCCCTGAGGGCTCCTCACTCCCAGGACCCCAAGCACTTTCTCCTCTATAATCTTGTTTGTGTCCAGCAGCAGAACCAAGCAGTGATCACTATCCCCAGTTTACAGATGACAAACAAGGCCCAGAGAGGTAAATGAACTTGCTCAGAGTCACAGAGCTGGTAAAGAAGAGCCAGAGCTCAGACCTAATTCTCATATTCTAGAATGCATACTCTTTCAATGACATAACATCGCCTTCTCAAACCACACTTATTTGATCTCCTAAAAAAAAGCAGGGACCAGTAGTTAGCATAATGGCTGTGTCGCTGGACTACCATGTAGTTCACCATGGTTTGTGTCCCGGACCTGATGGCTTAAACTCACGCTGTGCGCATGTGCATGCGTGCCCAAGATTTTGAGAGAATGGAAAAGGGATTGCGCCATGGCCATCTCCCCTAGGAGGGGTGATTTCTTGCTTTCTGTCTCTCCATCTGTCTCTGTCTTTCTGGCGAGCGCACGTGCCCTATAGCAAAAACCTCTCGGAAAAAAAAAAAAAAGTTTATTGCTTACTCTACTCCCAAAGTACATCTCATAACTGAGCAGTCAAGATTAACAGCTCCGGGACAGGCCGTGTACATTTGACTCTCAGCTCTGCCCATTACCAGCAATTACTTACTCTCTTCTGCCCCTATTTCTTCATCTCTAGAATGAGGATAATCACAGGACCGGCCTCTGGGGATTAGGAACAAGTTAATTCATGGAAGGTGCTTAGTAGCCCTGTGGGGCACAGAGCGAGTCAGCTCTGAGTGATAATAATAGTAAGATCATCTCATCAGATTCACCCTGAAGGTGGACACAGAGAGATGATTACTACGTCCTATTTCTTTTTCTTTTTTTTTTTTTTTTTAAGAGATTTTTGCTAGAGGGTGCATGCGCTGACCAAAGAGACAGAGAGAGACAGAGTGAGAAATCACTCCCCAGAGGGGATGGCCACGCTGCAGTCTCTTCCCCTCCATTCTCCTTTTGGGATCTATAGCACGCATGCATAGTGTGAGTTTTAAGCTTCCGCATCCAAGACTCGAACCGCAGTTGACTATGTGGGAGTCCAGCTACATAACCATTACCTCATTTGCTGGTCTCACTATGTCCTATTTCTGGAGAGAGACACTGAGGCTCAAAAGTGACATAACCTGCCCCCCTAAGCAGTGGAGTCTGGGATTAAACGCAATTCATCCGCTTTAGAGGTACAACTGTCTATCGCTGTACCCAGAACCCTGATCTCAGCGCTCACTTTTAGGCTCCCTCCTGCCTGTCGGGGGCTCACCCAGCCCCACCTGGCGCCAGTTGGAAGCCTCGGGGGTGTAGAACTCCAGAGCGAGCAGTCCAGCCCGAACCATGTTGAGCCAATTCACATAGATCACATCTTCCGCATCCGCCCCCTCAAAGCCAAAGATCCTGGGGAAGGGAGAGGTAGAGGGTAGGGGACAGAGGACAGGGATGGTCAGAGGCTACCCTGCCCTCCTGCAGGCACCCCCTCCCCAGAGCCCACCACTCCTCCCGCCTGCCATCATACTCCAGCACTTGGGGGTTGAAGCAGAGGTAGAGGCCCACGCTTTCGGCTCGACACTCTTCATAACTGGAGGCAATGGTGCTGAACTTGCTGTCCCAGGTCTCCCCACTCCGGTACCAGCTCTGAATCTGGGAGGGGAGGTCCAGGACTCAGCCTTAGGGATGGCTACTGCCCCACCTCCCAGCACCCTGGAGCTCCACTGAGGCCACTCTCACCTGCTCCCCTGTCTCTGGGTTAATCACTGTCTCCTGGTCAAAGTTGAATGCTCCTTTTTCATCCTGTAGGAGAAGGGTCATGAGCGAGAGGTGATTGAGGAAAAGGTACCCCTGCCCCAGTCTAGGTCTTCAACCCTGGAATCCATGGGCCTGAGGGCTGGCTTGGGAAGGCGAGCAGGGAGCTGCAGGCAGATGGTGGGGGCAGCAGGTCCATCGACACTAATGCCCATGCATCTCGCCAGCTGCCTCCTCAGAGACCCTGGGAGTGGTGGAAGAGCCAGAGTCTCCGACTCCATCATACAGAGCGGGACACTGAAGACAAGGCAGAGGAGGGACTTGCCCTAAGTCATGTAAGGACCTAGACCCAGCATCTCAGGACCTCAGATGGAGATGCCCCAGGGGGAGGGCCAACGTGCCACAGCATCATCCTCACCCTTCCACCACTTGCTGTCTTTTGTGCACCATCCACTTCATCCTCATGAACCTCTAGGATGGTTCCATTATTACCCACTGCACAGATGAATAAACTGAGGCTCACGGATTAAGAAACCCAAACTGAAATCAGAGCACTCACCCTCCGTGTTCACTGTTCCTTAAACACCAATGCCTGTGTGCTGAGAGCCTACTTCACACCAGGCTTACTATCCACCTTGGCATTTTCCCTTAAACAGCCCATACAGGAGAGTCAGGAATCCCATCTTACAGATGGGCCAGCAAAGGCTCAATGAGGGGAACTGACTTATCTACCGCTACAGCCTGGGAAAAAAATCTGGACAAGGCTCTACACTAGGCTTCTGTCCCCATCAGCTGTTCTCTGAATCCTTCTGAATTTCTAGGCCAAGCACTAGCCATTCCCCGTCCAGGGAGGCAGCCCCGCTCCCAGGGGCAGGCCCAACCTAGAACTCTGCTCTCTCTAACGGTCCTTGCCCTGCTTCGCTTCTGCTCATCTCTTCTGTGGGGCTCCAAGCTGGGGTCCACAATAAGCTTCTCTTGGCCTGTGGAAAAGCTGCTTGTCTTCTCCATAGTTTCTGAAAAGGAGTGACTCTGGCCGGCTGGCAGCAATAGGCTGCTCTGGGGAGAAATGGCTCCCTATAATACCTGGAAAGGTACAGGCTCCAGGGAATAGCAGTGTGAAGAAAGACAGAGCTCCATCCTCAGGACACATAGTCCAGAGACCGCCCCCTCCCAGTTCTCCAACCCTGGATCTGCTGTAGTCACCTCCTCAGGGCAGGCTTCCTCAACGGGGATGGTGGGGCAGCTGCTTAACCTGATAGACCCACTCATTCACTGAGCTCACTGGGACATCTTAAGAATTATTTTATTTAACTTTTATTTATTTATTTACTTACTATTATTATTTTTTTTTGAGAGTTTTTTTCTCTATAGGGCACGTGTGCTCGCCAGACAGACAGAGAGAGACAGAGAGACAGAAAGCGAGAAATCATCCCCCAGGGGGGATGGTCACGCCACAATCCCTTCTCCATTCTCTTCTCGGGATCTTGGGCACGCACGCACATGTGCCTGGCGTGAGTTCTAAGCCACCGGGTCCGGGATGCGAACGGTGGTCAACTACGTGGGAGTCCAGCGACATAGCCATTACGCTAACTGCTGGTTCCCTACTTACTATTATTTTAAAAAATTTTGACCAGAGAGGGACAGAGAGTGAGAGAGAAAGAAAGAGAGGGAAAGTGAGAAAGCAAGCCGCCAGGCCTGGGACTTGAACCATGATCGACCAAGAGGGAGCCCAGCGCTCTTAACCACCATGCCACCTCCTGGCCCCACTCCTGGGATATCTTGAGAGAGGGCAAGATAGGGTCTTTCCTGTTTAAGTAGCCACTTTCCCCTCCAAACTCAAAGCCCCCAAGGGCAGAGAGAGGTTAGCACAGCCCTGATTTGTATTGGGGTGTAGAGGCAGCCTGAGGAGGCTTCTGTTGGCACCGGGGCTGGATGCTGTTGTCTCACCTGCACGAAGAGCTTGCCGCTGCCGTGGCCCAGCAGTTCATGCAGGCCTACCTGCACATCAAAGGAAGGCCCCTTCCAGCGGATGTACAGGTCCTGTCAAGAAGAGCAGACAGCACTGTTCATTACCCCGCCACAGCCTCAGAGCCTGCCACCTCCCTGCCTCCAGGCCAAGGGTCCATCACTGCACACATGCTTAGTGAAGGTCAGCTCTACCCCAGCCCCTACAGCCTCTCTCATCCTTACAACAGCCCTGAAGTGGGGACTGCCACCACTGTGGGCTGCAGAGGAAACGGAGGCTCCAAAGTGGCACATGGTCACGTGGCTGGGAAGCTGTAGAGCAGGACTGAAGCCCTGCTCTTCGCTCTCCACTGCTGTGGGCTGTCTGCCTTCCCTGATCTGCTGAGGTCAGGCCAGGGCAGCCCCACCTGCAGGCTGCCAGAGCTCACCTTGTCCTCCTCCTCCAGGAAAGTGAGCTTCTCCCGCTGCGTGGCATAGGCTACAGCCAGCACATTCCCCAGCGACACATTCTTAAAGCCTTCTGTCTGCCTCAGGTCATCGTCTGGGGGAGAAGGAATGGGGGGCCAGGGGTGAGGAGCAAAGGTCAAGGCTTGCAGACAAGAGGAACAAACTGGGAAGTGAATGGAGCAAGGCAGTTTATGGCCAGGGGCGTGTGTGTGTGTGTGGGGGGGGGCAGGATGTATGTGTGTGATGGGCTCCTGGGGTGTACGTGTGTGTGTGTGCTGTGTGTGATGGGCTCCTGAGGTGTACGTGTGTGTATGTGTGTGTGTGTGGTGTGTGTGATGGACTCCTGGGGTGTACGTGTGTGTATGTGTGTGTGGTGTGTGTGATGGGCTCCTGGGGTTGGGGTCCTGAAGAAGCTCACAGTTGGGGATGTTGATGCCAGCAGGAAGGCCGGAGCCAGCGAAGGTGAGAACATCCAGGGAGGTGAAGTCAGGTGTGAGAAACTTGTCCTTCTCGAAGGCAGGGGGCCAGGGCAGCTCCTTCAGCAGCTGTTCCGCACTTGCCACCCGCCGCTCAAACTTG